GCCCCGGGCGCAGACGCGCGTCAGCCGGGGCCCGGGACTTTGGACCTGGGCGCCCCAGCCGTGCGCACCGCCCAGCCCGGTCCGTTCCCTCTCAGCTCCTCGCCCCTCCTCCTGCCCACCCAACTGTAAGCCAGTTTGCCCCTCCCTATCTCCCGGTGGCCCTGGGCTTGGAGGCCTCCACGGCCGTGTCCTGGGCACTGGAACAGCTGTCCGCTTCTGGTGGTGACTTAGGGGGTCACAAGGAAATGTGTCCTGGGGCTGGAAGCAGTGGGCTCCAGCAGGCCCTGTCCCGACCCAGCCAATCTGAGTGGTTCCCCACGTGCCACACCCCACCTCTAGATCTAAGACCAGAAGGCCTGATGCCCCACGGAGGGGCTCATTTGTTCTTGCTGTCGGCTGGTGGTGATGCCCTAATGTGTGCCAGGCGTGGTGAAGGGGGAATGAGAACCAAGATTAGATGCACCCCCTTTTTTCCTGGAGCAGAGGACCCCTTCCCTTCCCTTCCCTTCCCTTCCCTTCCCTTCCCTTCCCTTCCCCTCCTTCCACCTGGCCATGTCCTTCTTGTCCCTAGGGCTGACTTCTTCCCCACGCCCTGCCGACACCCACCTCGGTGAGATGCTCCTCCCAGGAGCTTCCCAGCCCACCAGAGCCCCTGATGCAATGGTCTAGTTACCTATCTCTCTCTTGCTGAACTTCCTGGAGCCCAGAGCCGCCTTTTGGCCCAAGGTCCCAAGATCAACAGCAGAGCTGGGCCCACAGCAAGTTTGACTCCAGAATCCACATTTAACCACTAAACAAGACAATTTGCTGGGCAGCCTTGGGAGAAGGCCAAATGTCTCATGAAGGCCTTGTCTTGCTCAGGGTACCTTTCTCTTGGGCTGTGGCACCTTTGCCATTCTGGTGACTCATCCTTTCTCTTGATATAACAGCCCTTTCACTGTGGCCACAGAGGAGACTGGAGGTCTGAAAACCCATGATCTGACCCATCAGCAAGGAGTGAAGACAGACATCTTCATTCCAAGTTGTCACTGCCTCTCGTTGTCTTCCCTGTTGATGTCCTGAAAAGGGGCAACCAGTAGCAGAGGGATTCTGGGGAACCCTCAGTTTGGATGTTTTTTATGTCAACAGTCTCCAGCAGGGCAAAGCCCATGCACAGAAGGGGTCACGTGACCTAATTTGCATACTAGGAAGAGCATTCAAGATGCTAAGTGGCAATGGGGGCAAAGGGAAGGAAGGGGACATTGGTTCGAATGTGGTTGCAGGAGGCCTGACCCAGGGCAAAGGTGCTAAGGATGGAGAGTAGATGGACTCGAGATATTCTAGAAGCTCTGGGACTTAGTGTACTGAGAGAGGGAGAAGTCAATGGTAATGTCCAGTTTTCTGGTTGGCTAACTGTCGATACATAATGAAACACCCCCAAACTTGGTGACTAAAACAACAACTTTTTTGTCCCTCGTGTATCAGCGGGTCAGCGGGGGGTGAGCTGTTCTAAGCTAATAAAAGGAAGGCTCTAGGCTAGTGCTGTTTAGTAAAAACATAACGTGGGCCACAAATGCAAGTCACATGGGTAGTTTTACATTTTCTGCCAGTCCCATTTAAAAAAGTAAAAAAAAAAAAGTGCAATCCATTTTAATAACTTATTAACTGAATATATCCCAAATGTTATCATTTTTACATATAAGTAATACTAAAAAATACCAGTGAGCCAGCTGTGTGGCTCAGTGGTTGAGCATCGATCTATGATCCAGGAGATTGAGGTTTGATTTCCGGTCAGGGCACATGCCCGGGGTGGACTCAATCCCCAGTAGGGGGCAAGTTAGGAGGCAGGCAATCAATGACTCTCTCAGCATTGATGTTTCTATCTCTCTCTCCCTCTCCCTTCCTCTCTCTAAAATCAATAAAATGTACTTAAAAATAAAAACACTGGTGATATATTTTGTGTTTTGTTTTTGTACTGTCGTTGAAATCCAGTGTTTCTACTCTCACAGCACATCAGAGTTCTAACTGTCAACATTTCAAGCCCTCAGTAGCTGTATTTGACTAGGGGCTATTGTATGGAACAGCATGGGTCTCGACTGTTAAAATATACAGTTTCACCCCTTCTACAATGTGAGGACACAGCAAGAAGGCACTGGCTATGAATTAGGAAGAGAGGGCTCACCCAGCTACACAGGTGCCTTGATTTTGGACTATTAGCCTCCAGAACTATGAGAAAGAAATTTCTGTTTATAAACCAAAAAATAAGTAAATAAATAAAGAAATAAATAATATATAATGTCAAACTAGGTAGGTCCTATCTGGAACTGACTGACAAATCCTGGCCACCTAAGGAAAATTTAAGTCAGGTAGGGGTGTGCTAGGTCTTGCTGACAGCTGCGTCCTGCGGCCCCCAGCCCCTCCTCAGCAACACTGCTCTGTCAGTCTTCCGTCCAAACCCATGTCCCCCTGCTATTCCCTGCAGCGCTGGCTGAATCCTTCCAGCCAAGTCATTTGAGGTGGGGCGTTTAAACGAGACTAATATGTTGGCCCTCACAGCTCACAGGGAAGTCCCCCAGAAAAAAGCAAGGGGGGTCTTGAAAGCATCCTGTCGTCCTCTTAATGAATACTTTGCAAGACCCCTTTGTCCGGGCAATTCTGGGAAACTTGGTGAGGAATGGAGGGACAAGAAAATGGCACTGAAAGGGGTAGGCAAGGGCACCAGTTTCTTGCTGTTCCAAAGTTTGGGAGCACATGCTCAAAGCCGCGTGCTTGGGAGGGTGCCAGGAGCCACGCTCTGCGCTCCAGCCCTGCTCGGGCCATTCTTTCCTGTCCTTACAGAAGCTCCCAGAAGTTGATGATCTTCCAATAAGCCAGCAAGGGGGGTGGGGGAGGGTGGAGCCAGGCCTTGCCCTCAGGAACCCCTCACCCCCTTCTGGGGAGAGAGGAGGTGGAGCCCAGGGCCTGACCCAAAGTTTCCCTCTGGCTAATGGGGGAGGACTCCTGGGCTCTGCCTGGGGAGTCCCCAGGCTGGCTGGGAAGGGTAGACTCACCCTCAGGGCAGTTGGGTCTGTGAGCTAGGCTCTGGGGCTTATTCTCAGGGTGGTGGATGTCAGAGGTCAGCCAAGCTGGAGCCTTTCGAGCAGGAGGCTGAGAAACGATGGGTAATCCCCAAGGCCATGCCGATTTGGAGCGTCAAAGGAAAAACTGAGAAAGTGGAGGTGGGAGTTCCCATTGTTCCTTCTCGTTCCAGCCCCACCTTGACAGGTGCACAGAGTGGGACTGTGAAATCTGCCCTCAGCCTGCACCGGAGCGGGAAGCCCACCCACACTACCCGATGCCTGGGCAGCGTGGAGGCACAGTCCTGCCTTTGCCCACCCCTGGCCCTCACAGATGCGGCCCACCCCACACTCCACCCAGAGAGCTCTTTGCTGTCCCCGAGGGTTAGCTAGAGACAATAAGGACTCTGGATGAGCCTGTCTGATCCACTATCCTCTGGGCCTGGGTCTCTGGGTTCTCCAGACAAAGCCAATTTGGGCCAAGCGATCTCAAGTCCAACATGATACCTTTATTAGAATTAATCACACCTTAGCTCCCCCCACAGGAGTCATTTTTGGATCTCGAGGGCTCACCTCGGAGCAGCACTGACCCTGCCCCCCAAGCTGAACTTGGCCCGGAATTTATGGCCTGGAATCCACGGCCTCATCCTGAGCCACTCAGCTCTACCTGAGATGGTCTGAGGGTCCGGCCCTCAGTCATCCTGGCTGTGTGAGGTCTTTTTTTTGGCCTTCGAAGACGTCGTGTGAAGTTCTGGGTACAAATTCGCCGTGGTGTTGAGAATGGTGTTCTTCGCCGCTTCCCCAGTCACATCATCCAGTGAGAAAGCCTGAGCTAGATCGTCGCTCAGATCTTCGCTCATGACCCTGAACAAGCCATTGGAGAACAAGCCATGAGCTCTGATTTTTGGAGCTGAAAAAGCAGCCACTCTGGGGCAGCTCCGGCAGGGACTGGTTCTGCCTTCCTGAGAGGCGGGGCTTTCCCACGCCTGCAGGCCCTGGGCCTGTGATGGATCCTCGCCTCTAGCATCAGGCCACTTTCACCTCCTGACTGTGGCCCGACCTTTCAGTCTTCTGTGTCTTTGGAGCTCTGCCCGCCATCTTCACCAGTACCATTTACTGAGCACTTGTCATGCACTCGACACAGTGCCAAGCTCTATGTGGGCTTAATCCTCCCAAACACCCTGTGAGAGAAGGCTAGGCTACATGTTTTTAACCTGTCTGTGCCTCAGTTTCCTCATCTATAAAATGGGGGATAGTGACACGACCTACCATGCATGTAGTTGTGGTTAAGACAAAGTATGGAAAGGCATGTATAGAACAGGATCTGACACATAGTAAATGTTCAATACCTGTTAGCTACTGTTATTACTATGTTCTCACCCCATTTTGCAAATGGAGAAACTTATAGGTACATGAAGAATCTCAGAGGTATTAGATAACTTCCCTGTGCACATATAGGAAGTGGTAGCAGAGATGGAAACCCACACTCTCTGACTCCAGAGCCTGTGTTCTTAACTACTGTGCTGTTACTCTGCTGCATTGCACTCCCCTTGTCTACAATGGAGCAAACTCCTATTCATCCTTCAAAGCCAAATATCACTTCCTCTGTGAAGCCTGCCCCAACTCCCCAAATGAAAGTTCTTCTCTCCTGTGGCTCCTATAGGTCCTGACATCCCTCTGTCAGAGCCCATTAGTGATAACTGTGTACATATCTGTCTCCCCATAAACTATGGCTTGCTCTTACTGCTGACAGTCCAACCCTGGTGATGCCAATGAGAGTTTGAGGGAGGAGAGAAGGAGGGGAATGGTGGGGAGGAAGGGAGAAGAAGGCCAGACGCAGCGACACCTAGAGTATGAGCAGAGGGCACTGGAGGACATCAGGCAGCCTCTGCCCCTCACTGTTGCTTGAGTCCCCTCAGGTCCAAGGAGAGAGTAATGCACTCTGTTGGCCCAAATCCCAGAAGTGATGGTTCTGCCAATCACAACAAATCTCCAATGGGCATTTAGGAGACCAGAGGCCAGAAGCGCCCACAGAGGGGTGGGGTAGAGCCTAGTTCTGAGCTGCTGAGGCCCAGGCCAGCGTCACGAATCAAGACTGGGTTCAAGGAAAGGAAAAGTACTCAGAGAGCTGATCTCAAGGCGGTGCCCTTTGCCCTGGGAGGGCAGGGAGCCCAGAGCATCCATAAGGCAGTACTCCAGGCCAGACAGGCAGTCAGGAGGCAAAGAAAGGAGAGGACCTGGCTCAGGCTAGGTCAGGAGAGCCAGGCAGGATGGCAGAGCAGAGGCCGGGCTGGGTGGAGTTGGCTGGCAGCATCCAGGAGAGCTGGGGGAATGTAACGGACACAGTGGCTCTTTTGTCACAGGCCCTTTGGGCAAAGGCGCAGGCATGGACAGCACCTGCCGTGCTCTCAGGTGCCAAGAGCTTGCGGACCAGGCCCGGGCTGGCCAGAGCAGAGGGGCCTCGCACACCTACCTTGTCTTCGAGGGATAGAGCTCCAGGTTATCGGAAATGGGCTGATTGAGCGTTTCTGGAAGCAGGGAGCAGAGAGACAGGGAAAAAATGGCCGAGATGAAGGAGAAAGAGCTGGAGATGGGGCTCTGGCTGATGAGTGTCAGGGACAAGATGGCTCCAGCTCCCCAGGCCAGAGTCACCAGCCCCAGGCCTGTCGTCCTGGAAGGAAAGGTGAGAGCTTGTCTAGGGGGCCCGTGGGCCCAGAGGCTGGGTAGAGTGGAAGAAGCAGCTCCCCAAAACTCCATACCTTCCAGTCTGTACCCTTTTTCTCTGGTTAATCCTCACTTGAGGATACTTTTCTATTATTTTTAGAGAGAGTGGAAAGGAGGGAGGGAGGGGGAGAGAGAAAAAGAGAGAAACACGGACGTGAGAGAGACATCAATTGGTTTCCTCCTGCATGTACCCCGACCAGGGCCAGGGGTCGAATCTACAACCCAGGTACATGCCCTTGATGGGGAATTGAACCCGAGATCCTTTGATGTGCAGGCCAGCGCTCTAACCACTGAGCACACTGGCCAAGGCCACCCTGTCTTAACTCACTGTGCAACCTTGGAGAATTAGCTCTCTGTTGATTTAAAGCTGGTAGTACTTTCTGTGGGCCTACTTCGTGGGGTCAGGAGTGGGAGAAGACAGACCCACACAACACTGGGGGGGGTGCAGGGAGGAGCGTGGGGAGGAGCATCCTGCTGCCATCAGGGAGGTCTCCTGAGCCTCAGAGCTGCCCAGACAGGCAGTGCAAGGTGGAAACCGAGTCACACCGCCCAGGGCCGATGCTGGTTCTGCCACTTGCTCCGCCTGACCTTGAGCCAGTGCCTTTGCCTCTTTGATTTCACTAAGTAGGGCTAATGCTGGTGTCAGAGAGAATTTTTTGTGAAGGTGAGATGGAATAATCCATGTAAACTTCTCAGCATGCTGCCCAGTCCTAGCTGCTACGGCTCATCTTGTCATTATCCCACCTTCTCCCCGCCACAGCCCTCTCCCACCAGGTCCATACCTGAGGACAGTGGGGAGGAGCTCGGCAGTGTAGACGAAGAACACTGTGATGGAGGCGGCCAGGCTGAATTGTCCAAGCAGGGCAATCAAGACCATCGTGGATTTCAACTCTGTGGCCAGATAACATGACCACCTGGGTTTGGGGCCATCCTGCCCTCAGGCCAGGTAGGGGAGGCCTGCCTGCCCATCAGCTCTCCCTGAATCCCTCTCAGGGGGCATCTCAACAGTCCACCCCAGCACCTGGTCAGCTGACTCAGGCATTCGGTCAGAGGAGGGTCAGCCTGCTGAGGCCCAGCCAGGACTCAGAGAGTTGGCCCTTGGGGTGGGAGGACCCCCGTGGCCTCTCAGGCCACCGACCTCCCTGCTCACCTACCTGGAGCCAGGAGTTCACCCCTCCTCTGTCCACCTCTGCTGGGCCCTGCCCCAGCCCCCAGCCCCCCTCTGGGCCTAGCTTTCCTTGGCCCTGGGATGAAATCAGAGATATCGTTTTATCTAGTGGGGATTCTATTCCTAGTTTCTCTCACACATTTGAGAGTTTTAAACATTTCTGCTTGACTCATTACAGACCCACTTTAAACACACACACATCAAGCAATAGAAATTGAATAACGAATTTGTTTCCTCATTTTGTTCCAGCCAGTCCACACTGCCAACATCCAGGAGGAGAAAAGGTCCCACCCAGTCAAGACACTCATAATTCCAGCCCCCAGAGAAAGAGGGGGCGCCTCCTTGAGGCGGACCCTGGACACAACGGCCCCAGTCCAGGCCCCAGCAGCTGAGGGGTTCTTGTGGGGAGCAATTCTGATTGGACGCACACTGACGCCTTCATGTCTGCATCCTCAGTCCTGTCACTCTCTAACCCTGTGGTGTGACCTGGGGGCATATTCATTGTCCTAGGGCTCTTTGAAATTTTGAAAATATTGCCAGCTCCTGCCTGCCCCCCGCCCCAACTTTCCTTCTTTAGTTCTGAGCCCACAGGGCACCAGGGTACTGTGCCCCTGGGAAAGGAGAGGTCCCCATGCAAGAACACTCCATTTTCAGTGGGCAGGTTCTGCTTTCCTGGTGAGGTTATAGCTAAGAGGCAGGGCCTGGAGTAGCAGTTGAAGGATTATTTTTGTTGCATCAGTTCACTTTTTTAAAAAGATTTTTTTTTAAATTGATTTTTAGAGAGAGAGGAAGGGAAAGGGAGAGGGGAGGAGAGAGGGAGAGAGATCGATGTGAGAGCAGAACATCCATCAGCTGCTTCCTGTATACCACCTACTGGGGATCGAGCTCACAACCAGGGCAAGTGCCCTGACCTGGAATCGAACCGGCAACCTTTCGGTGCACAGACTGTGCCCAACAAACTGAGCCACACCGGCCAGGGCTGCATCTGTTCACATTTAACCACCAGACCTGACGTGGATTGGAATCAGGTGGAAGAAGGCTGC